CGTGCACCTATGCAAGAGCACAAATATCACCATAATGATTTTCCTACGAATAATCAAACCCGCCTGTTTTCTTTGTATGTCAGTTTATAACATGGAGTTCGTTTGTTAGTTTATCATTCGTTTAATTTGTGTTGTTTAAATATGTGGACTGGAAATTCTGTACTTTCGTGCGTCTCTTTTCCTTTTCGCTATGAATTGTGGTTGAAAGCCCAGCGTCTCTGTTAGATGATGTTAAGCGATTACAAAGAAACTTACACGGAATTCAACCAGACCGCACTGCACTGGACTTTCCATCGTAAAGGGTTTAATCGAAGTGATAGGTGTTGTTTTGATACACCGTTAATTTAGGTACACATTTCAGTGCGTCGATTTGCACAGTTATCTACGGTTTAGCGTCGCGAAATTCTGTCCGGGTCGCCCCGGGCGGTTATCTGTTACATGTAATGATTACACTACTACAAGATCAGACGTTCCGAAATTTACCGAGTCCTCACGAACGTTTCCGGGACTGCAGTGCGACAGTCACGTAGCTGATCTCTGTCGATGTACAAGAGTGTGGTTGACAGCGAAATGCGAGGTGGAAAACTAGTTTACATTTACAATTACACAGTTATACCCGAAAGTTTGAGGTTTTTGGCAGTGATGCTATTATTTGACGCTGAGTCACTAACAGCGTCGTTAAATAAACCGTAAATAAGTAAATAAAATACACGGCTAATATTGCTATGTTTGACGGCCATTATTATATGAATTAAGTGTATTACGACGGTAATCATCCAAATGCGAAAACACCCTTAAACAGGTTATTAACAGTGTGTTCAAAATAATATTTTAACCAGAGGAAGCTTAGGGAAGCTTAAATGATATGTAAATGGAACAATGACATATTTTTATCTGGTATTTTTTCCTATTTTATTATTATTATTTATTCTAATATGTTGCCATCTTTTTCATTCTTTCGTAACTTAATCTCCTTTGCTATAATTCTGCTGCATTTTCTAAATTCCACTCACCTTACAACACTGAAAATATCAGCCGTCCTACATACAACGTGCTTTCGCCACACATATAAGAAGGTTTAGAGGAAAACGGGTTTACAAGAATTATATTTTGGAAGACACAAAGAACGAGAGAATAAGGTACGAATAGCAGTAATAACAGTAATAAGAATAAGAATAATGGGAAGTGCAAAAGATTAGATTAAAATTAGTAATTATAAATGTATGTAGTCTCGTGTTTAGAACGCTGGCCTTGTAATCCTGGAGTCCCGGGTTCGATTCCCAGTGGTGCCCAAATTTATAACTTGTGTTGGGCAAGGCCGTGGTCCAGGTATCACGGAGTTTTCCTCCGGGGCTCTCCCGGTTTCTCCGTGGCATCTTATCAATTACTTCACATTCATCATCATTTACATACAGAAGAAGGCAATGGCAAACCACTTCTGAATCATCTGCCAAGTAAACGGACCTGTCGTCAGACAGAACACTAATAATAATAATAATTATTATTATTATTATTATATAGTAGCACAATCAGAGCTGTGCACCGCAGAAACTTGGTTTCGTTGGGAACTCAAATAATCAATTCAGATGAGGGGCTTCACAAATTGTAAACCTGATTATTACTTTCTATTGTCATGGTGAGTAAACAATGAGAGATGTGCTAGGTAATGTGATATGCTTGCCAATCACGAAACAAGACATACACGATAAAGTTTGATTGAAATTCCCAAAGGATGGGAAATATTTGCGGGTCCTTGGCAGGATGTTAGATGTGAACTGATTTAAAGTTGCCCAGAATACGATATAATAACGGGTTTTTGAATTGTAAACCGCCGGGTTTTATAAAAACACGGAATTTCTTGACGGGCTGCATAACTGAGTCTAGCATCTTCTGTAGAAGCAACTTGTCCCACTGAGTTAATTAATTACTTTGTTTTACTAATAGTTGGTACTTGTTTTATTAATTATATTCTTTCCGTATTTACTTTCATAGATCATTCGCTTGTGTGCAGGTCATGGGTAAAGTCTGACATTACGTTAATTAACAACTGTTTACATACCGACTAGCTATAGTTTTGTGTTTATATATTTCCTTCTTCTTTTCAGGTAAATATATCATCTTCTTCCATCTTTCAACACAACGTCAGGATCATCACTACCGTATTCTGAAGGCCCTGGCATGGGGCAGTCTCCTAGAAGTAGCCTTCTGAACTACGTAACCCGGAATAGACACGTTTGGATATTGCAAAGGTGACGTCATTCCCAGTTTCAAATAAAGTGTTTACCGCTTCACATAAGTCCGATTTAAGTTTTATGACTATCTGATAAATTTCTGAAGATCATCATACACAAAACTACGAATTTTGTATGAACCGTACCGTATTTACCAGAATGCAATGGACACGTGTTTTTCTCCAAATACCTCCAGAAAATCACATCCCATGTTATATTAACACACGTTAAATTCTATCAGTTATGTTACTGTATTTAGAGTAATACATCTATATGTTTGAATATGAATGTCTTCTGTAATGAATTATGACCTTTATGGTGGAGATATCAGCTTCCTCAAAAGCGTCGTTCAGTATTTACCTGACTGTACGGTGCTGCATTTCAGAAGACAACTTTCTTCATGTTCGCCATAAGCATCTCAGATCTCAGTATGCCTGCAATTATTTACGATATTTTTTCGGGGGGGGGGGGAAGTTGGAGTAAAGAAATTGTGCTTTATATTAGGTAAAACATTATACTTCTATGTTTTCGCAATTTATAAGATGGTGGTGTGAAAGTTTTGAGGTTATTATTGCTTAGTTATATATAATCATGGTCTACTCGCAGCTCGTGAAAGATTCATGGCCCAAAATTCAAAATCTATTTCCCTAAAACTCATCTTAATATTATGTTGTAAATTTTTTCACGATCTTCGAAGAGGTCATTTTACCATGATTTTACGTGTGTATGCATTTCTCGTGTGTCCAATCCGAATTACATGTTCTGGACGTTTAAAGCCTTTAATTTTACTACCGTAACATTACTGGCTATTATTAATTATTATTGGAATTGTTTTTATTGAGTTTAAAACAAATATTGAGGGTAGAACAGTATTGGGGGGGGGGGAATTAATTGTGTATAGATTGTAGAAATTGGAATCCACCAGAGGTTGGCACTCCTGTTCTACTGAACAGATTTTTCCAGGCCTGTATTTACCCGTTTAAATCTGTGCCAGATTAACTACTGTCCAGTCATGAAGTTATTCGTGGTTTTCCCCAGCGTCTCAGTCGATTGCAAAGCGTACATAGTATGTTCGGTTGAACGTGCATCATTGTTATTTAACGACACAGTGCCAACTACAAAGGTTAAGTTACATTTCGTGGATAAGACATTTCAGGATGATTGATAGTTGCATGTTAGAACGTGACGGAATTCGGCCGTGGCCCGTTCAAACACACTTCGGAATGGTTTTACTGTGAGGAATGAGGAAAGTCACGAATGATCTGAGTCGAGATACAATGACGCAGGCCGAGTTTTGAACCGCGGATCTCCGAACTGCGAAGCACAGTTACTAACCAGCTGGTTGCATTTCTTTGTTTAGCCGCCGCTGGAACCTGCACGGCAGTTCGTACGTGTCTTTATCGCTGTGAATTTATTTATACAAAGTCTGCACGCACCGGCGTTGGCTTTGTCGTCCCTCGCCAGGAACTCGTCGTTGCTTTGCCAGGATCTGAGTGATTTAAAGATCGCGTGGCCGTTCGGAACGCCAGCCAGACCGTTCCTTGATACCGTATTTATGGTATTATGGCGTGATACTGGTATCAGCACGTGACCATGCACATTGCTCCACATGGTATGTCCTACGATGTAAGCAGCTCTGCTGTGTTGGAATCATTTAGATTGTCTGTGCTTTATTGTCGCAGTAAAGGAATGGTCGACATGATTAGTTATCTGAAAAATGTCTTGTGTTCCTTTCGCTCTCTTTATTTTCCTCTTTCTCTCGCTCTGACTTTCGTTTCCCCTGCTTCTTTTCGGTTTCTTCGTTGTGTATTCTCTTTATCTTTCTTGATTCATTCTTTCCTTTTCTCCATTTCAGTTGCCTTCCTTTCTTCTTCCTCTTTTCCGCCTCTTCCATAATTTCACTTCTTGCTTGCATCCTTCTCTTCTTTTCTTCCTCTTCCTTTGTTCTTTCTCTTTCTTTCTTCTTCCTCTTCCTTAATTCCACTACTTCCTTTCTTCCTTCTCTTCTTTTCTTTCTCTTCCCTTGTTCTTCCTCTTTCTTTCTTTCCTTCTTTTTTCTTTCTTTCATCTTCTTTCTTCCTTCTCTTCCATAATTTCACTTCTTGCTTGCATCCTTCTCTTCTTTTCTTCCTCTTCCTTTGTTCTTTCTCTTTCTTTCTTCTTCCTCTTCCTTAATTCCACTACTTCCTTTCTTCCTTCTCTTCTTTTCTTTCTCTTCCCTTGTTCTTCCTCTTTCTTTCTTTCCTTCTTTTTTCTTTCTTTCATCTTCTTTCTTCCTTCTCTTCCATAATTTCACTTCTTCCTTGCATCCTCTTCTTTTCTTCCTCATTCTTTCTTCCTTCTCTTCCTTAATTCCACTTCTTCCTTCTCTTCTTTTCTTCCTCCGCTACCTTTCATAAGCTTACAAACTATTCTGGTTTGTTATTTATAGTAGCTTCTTCAAGTACAGACATTATAGGCCTATAGTATAGACTGAGATCGATAGTCGAAATCAACGATTATGTTAGGATCTGAAACGTGTTTATTATTTGTTTCAAGATAATTGGTAGTCACACAGATATTCGAACCGGGTATGTCTTCTGGGTTGTTGTGGATCATCATCGCCAACATATGTAGGCAGTCTAAAAGGACAAGTATTTATATGTAGATACATATTTCGTATTGTGTCTTTTGCAAATAGTGGTGTACCGCGGTTAAAATAAAGTTGTGGAACACTGCTCCAAGCCCAAAGTTCCTTTGATCCGTGGTTTTCAACGAAGTAACCTAATGACGTCACCACCGTGAAGAACGCCTCTAGAATTTTAGTGTACTCCAATCCTGGTTTTTCTAAATTCTTGCTTCTTCCTCTTTCTTAGCTCTAAACATTGTCCGCAGAATAAAGCTCCTTAATCTCTGTTCTTCTGTCAGAGTAAGAGACCAATTCTTAAACACGTCGGAGCACCAAATATCTTTCATATCTTCATCTTTTCTTCTTTTATTGTCCTCCACGGATTAGGCTGAGGCGTGCTCTGACTTCACAGCAGCCAGAGATGGTCTCTCAAAGTCTCTGAATCCCGATGGTTAACACTGAGAGCAAGTTCGTGGTGTCAACTGTTACGAAATGTTCATTTGTAGAATAAAGCGCTTTTACAGAGAACCAGTTTTTTCTGTGACCGGACATAAGTCACAGCTGTTTGTATTCGTTCTCATTATTACCGCACTCCTTATGACCAGAAATTTAGTGGAATGTACTGTGCCGATTTTTATATTTAGTTTCTTTGAAACCGGAGTCTGGCTGTTATTTGGTGTGCAGAATAAATGCGATAATTGTAGAATTTTGACAGTTTTTACGTTCCCATACGCTGATGTTCATATATGAGTTCACATGTATATTGTACTGTGTTTGTGTGTGTATTATCACGCGTGCTTGTATGTACGTACGAATTCTCCATTTAGTAACCTGGAAGGTGCAACAAGTGACGAGAAATAAACATCTCTCCAGTATTCCTTCATTTTGTTAAATTCTTGCCAAGTACATTAAAGGTGAATGCAGAAATCTCTCTCTCTGTCCTATTTGTAACTTCCGAAAAACAGTTTTTTTATTAAAAATAGCTGTCAATTCTGGGTTGTTGGGCAGTGTAGTCTGGTAGAAATTTACGTAGGTTTCAGGGGTGCTTGCTGCCTTCATCAGGGCGATGAGTATTTATAGCCTTGTGATGAAGGCAACAAGTACTTATGAAACGGCGGTAAACTTTTACAAGATTGCACGGCGTAAGAACTCAGAAGAGAGCCATTTTCATAATTTGTCTTGTTAAAGCACAAAACTAAAGCAGTAATTTTTGTAGTTAGGTTATGGAATCGGTCACATACCAGAGTAAAATATCCTGATAGGCTCTTACTGAAAACATTAATTCGCTTGAAACGACGAATGTGCGCGATGTTTAGATTATAATATAAATCATCTACGTGATCACTTGGGAAATTGCAAGTAATAACATCTAAATAAAAACACAATGGGAGTGTTTTTAATAAAAACCAACCCGGAGAGAAGTGAAATATAATGAAAAATTCTGATTTCAGGCCACAAAACTGTGAGGTACTTATATTCGAACAAGCAGGAATTTCGTTCATCTCTTATAGCTGAAATATCAGTGAATGTAGTCGCTTCTCCTTATTAAATGACAGGGAGAAAGAAAAAAGTGAACAACATAAATAGAGTAAGAAATAAAAAAGAATTTGAGGTTTTCGCAACGGCGAGTATGAAGATTTCTGTCTTCTGGGTTGTTGCGCTGTGTAGTCTGGTCGATGTTTACCAACGTTTCAGAGGTCATACTGCCTCCGTCATCAGGGCGATGAGTATGAAAATTTCTGTCTTCTGGGTTGTTGCGCTGTGTAGTCTG